CCGGGGCTCCGCCGGCAGTCCCCGCTACCCAGAAAACAAAGGGGATTCCCAGCCATTGTCCTCCGCGGCGCTGAGCATCACCAGCACTAGCAAGGCAGTAGCTTGCGCAGTTATCTCCACAGCGGGCAATGTCACAACCCGACCAACAGCACAAACTACTACCTCAGCCAGGGCCATGGTGTCGACTGGCATGGAACCACGCTGAGAGCGAAGCTGCACCGGCGATCTCCGTCCTTCTTCCGCCGCCGACGTCGGCCCGACACCCCTCACCCGCCGCATCGCGCCCGGAGACCCCGCCCAGCGCCGCGTTGCTTGGCCGTTCCGGACGCGACCCACGAGCTCTAGGAATTGAAGGTGGCGCCCTGGGAGGCTGAGCCAGGCATTCTGTACGTAACCAACAGCTCTGGAAAGAGAAATGCTCCTGGAGGAGAAAGCCGCTCCCTCCACGGCCAAGAGATGAAAGCTCATCCCTGAGCCACTCGAAAGCAGGAAATGGGCAGCAAAGGCGCAGCCAGACGCCAGTTGTATCTGGACGGCCCCCCAGAGGCAGTCAGCGAGCGGCGCTCCCGCGCTTCTCCCACCAGCAGCTCTCTGCCGGCCCCGCCACGCTCCCGCCACGTCTCGGGGCTGAGCCGCCGGTGCCTCTCCCGCCCCGAGCTCGCGGTGGGGGTTGGGCCGCGGCCGGGCCAAGACAGACTTGGCCCGGACTGGCACTTCGGTTCCCGCACCCGCCTTGGGGCCAGCTCTCCGCGCGAGCGAATGCCCAGGGAGCATCCCGCGGTGACCGCTGCCAGCTCCAACTCCACGATAAAGGACCCGGGATAGCCCGGAAGTCCCCAGGCCACCCTTTCCCCAGTACCCTTCGGGGAAATCCGGAACAGGTCTGCAGGAGCAGAGAACAAAACAAACAAAAACCCCGTAAAACTGAAACCGAGTTGGGCGGCGGCGTCTCCTCGGGCTCCACGCGCGCAGGCACACAGTCCATCTCGCGCTCCGCTGCTCCTGTGCCTCCGGACGAACCATAGAGATCACTTAAGGAGGCTCGCGCGCTACTCCTCGCCACGTGACCGCCCCACCAGGCCGCCCCCCTCCCCCCCCTTACCGCCATCTTACATCCGGGGCAGAGGCGGTGCCTTTTCCCCGCCTTGGCAAGCTTCGACGTGTCACTAGAAATCGGCCCCAAGAGGGGGACCCCCGACTCCACGTCATCAAAGTGCTGAGGCCGCGGGCCATGCCCCCTAATCCGCTGTACTGGGGCAAAGTGGAGCCCTAACTTCTCTCAGCCTTTGCCCGCAAAGAAGATGGCGGCTCTTGCCGCCGCCTAAGTGGACACGTTGTACTCTGGCCACGGTTTAAAGTTTCCGGTACCTCCTTTCCCACTGCAAGGAGGTTTTAGACTTACGCGCTCCACCCCACGGCGTGGCCACTAAGTTCGGCAGAAAACAGGCGGGAAAGCTACTTTACAGCTCACTCTAATACGCAGGCTCTAGGGTCTCGGTGGTTGTTTTTTTTTTTAAGGCAAAGTTTGGGAGGAGGTGGAAAACCGTGGAGGTGCTGCTTCTCTTGGCCCAGACTCCTTACGCTTAAAAAATTATTATTTTTTTAAAGTTAATCCTTAGTAGGTTTTGCCACGTAAAACACAGAACATCCAGTTATTTGAATTTCAGATGAACTAATATTTTTAGTATATGTACGTCTCATGTACTTTAAAAAAACTAAACTGTCTGAAATTCAAATTGAACTGGGCTTCGTGTATTTTTATTTGCTAAATCTGGCAATCCTTTTAGTCATTATATGCCCCAAATCCCGGCTGAAAATGACAAAAGTAGGGAATGGAAATAAAAAGCTTGTTCAACTACAGTTTGGGACTGACTGGGGCAAAGACTTCGATCCTTTCCTGGAGGCCAGAGGGCTAAGGCCCAGACTCCAAAAACTGGTAACAAAGCATAAGTAGCCATGTATGTAATTCCTTTTTTTAGAAGAACAGATTTGTTTTCCCCTTAAAGTAGTACAAAATAATTTTGAGCAATAGAGCCTCCTGGCCAAGGGGCTCATTACAAATTAAAAAATAACACTGCTTTAGTGTTCCTATTGATGATGGGACTCAATTTCTTAAAGCACAAGTTTTCAAATTAAAAACGTGCCTGACATGTTTCAAAATAAATGGCATTTGTACATAATAGGCAAATTCTGAAAATAAATACATTTGGATATCCCTACGAATTGACACTCTAATGTTATGCTAATAAAAGCATTTAAAGCAACAGTTGAAGGTAATTTGCCTGGCTGTCCCACATAAATTATTTCCAATTAACAATATTTATGAATATGTGTATATATATAGCACATCAGTAAATGCTTTATTTGACAAAGCATACACTCGACCATCCATCACAAAGATGCATTACCTGGAAGTCTGTGGAAACTTCACCAAGAGCTTCATTATGATTCTCACCCCCCTTTCCTGACAAGCAAATGATTAGGCTGCCATAGCATTCCCCTCCATTGCTCATTCACAGTGGACCACATCATCCTGCACCATAGCAAATGCCATTTAATTATCACAAAGGCACAGGTTTTTAAATAATCATTAAGCAGTCCTTTGGGCTACAGCATACCGATTTGTAAGAGCAACAAAAGTTCCAACTACATTTAGTCAAGTCATTAAACTAATTGCATCACTTAGATTCCTTTCCACAGTTAACCTGTTTTTGGCAGTGCTAATGCCAATATAGCTGGTGCAGGACTGAGCAGTGTTTCGTTCTGTTGTACACAGGGTGGCTATGAGTCAGTTGACTCAATGGCATCTAACACAACAATACCGGTATCATCACCATCCAGACACAATGAGCTGTTATCAACTCTTTATCCTAAACCCACAATATCTGGAACCTAAGCATCCTTTGCTCTGGTGGTGCTATGGTTATTAAAGCGTTGGGCTGCTAACCAAAAGATCAGTAAGTAGTTGGAACCCATCACCGCTCCACTGGAGAGAGAGATGAGGTAGTCAGCTTCCATAACTATTAACAGCCTCAGAAACCCTATGGAGCAGTTCTACTCTGTCCTATAGGGTCACTATGAGTAGGAATTGACTTGATGGCAGTGGGTGGGGTAAGCCTTTCCTAATGTGACTATCTTCAGCTAATCAATTATATATCAGCTAGTCAATCATATATCATCACCTCACCTCACACCACCAGATTTGATGCCTTTGAAGCTGGAGAATACTGAAAATACCACAGCCAGCCAGAAGAATGAACAAATCTGTCCTAGAAGAAGTGTAGCCAGAATGATCCTTAGAAGGGAGAACTTTGGTCATGTTGTCAGAAGCCACTATTCCCTGGAGAAGGATATCATGTTTGGTAGAGGGTCAGTGAAAAAGGGGAAGACCCTCAAGATGGATTAACACAGTGACTTCGAGGACGGGCTCAAGTATAGCAAGGATTGTGAGGATGGCACACAACGGGCAGTGTTTTTTCTGTTGTACACAGGGTCACTATCAGTTGGAGCCAACTTGATGGCACTGACCACCTACAACTGGAAAATTGCAATAGCTTCTTACCCTTTGTTGTTGTTAGATGCCATGGAGTCATAGCAACCCTTTGTACCACAAAACAAAACACTGGCCAGCCATGTGCCATCCTCATCTTGCCTCTCCTTATATTTCCTTTATCTTGCTTATAACTGCAAGTTTATCTTCCACAGTTTCATAATGTATTCTTAAAAATAACCACTTCAAACTCCTGCCATCCCAAACCTAAACTACTCTGCTTGGCTTTCAAGAAACTTCATGAATAGAATAATAATGTGTCTGAACTGTTATATGGAAAATGAATTTGCTCTGTAAACTTTCACCCAAATCACAATAAAAAAACTCACGAATGGGCATCAGTCCTTCATCACTAACCTTACTGGGGAAAAAAAAAAAAAAAAAACCAACCCACTGCAGTAAAGATGATTCGACTCATAGCAACCCCTCCTTGTGTTTCCAAGGCAGTATCTCTACAGTAGATTGTCCACTCTTCCTTCTGAAGAGTGGCTGGTGGGATTGAACCGCCAGGCTTCTCGTTAGCAGTCAAATGCCTTAAGCACTGTGCCACCAGAGCTCTCTCACTAACCTCGTTTCATGCAATTGCACCAAGATGTACTCTCCACCAATTGCCTTATATTTCACAGATGTTCTTTGTTTACATTACTTGTCTTTGCTTGAAATACCCTCCAGTACTCTTCGTGTTCATCCAGCATCTACCTAGTCCTCAAGGCCCTTTTTAAGTTCTAATTCTACCACTGAGCCTTTTCATTTCTTTATTGATCTTCCTTCTGTATAGTAACAGCAATAATAACCTGTACCACAGAAGCCTAGGCTAAGGTTCCCTGCTTTATGATCCCATATTGATTTGTACTTATACTTCACACACTTGTTAAAGGTCTGTGTTCCTTGCAATACTGTAAATTCCAGGAGGGCAGAGACTGTAATCCAACATTTAACATGTAACTCAAACTAACTGAATCGAGTTGGATCCAACTCATAGCGACCCTTTCTTGGGCTTCTGAGGCGGTATCTCTATGGAAGTACATTGCCCAACCTTCTGAGGAGAGGCTGATGGGTTTGAACCGCCAGTCTTCTGGTTGGCAGTCAAATGCCTTAGGCACTATGCCACCAGACCTCCTTTAATATATAATAGGACTTAAAATATTGTAACACATCAAAACTAGTTATACACAATCTTGTATCCAGTATTATTTTATGTGGGTCTCTCAATTAGCTTAAGTACCCCTAATAACTTCAGTCACACACAGCAAGGACAGTTAAGTATTCACAGCAGATTTTCAATTAACACTTAGCGGTTGTCCAGTAATAGGCAAAAAATTGGTCCCTACTGTGGTAAGGTATTGTATCCCTCCTTGTTTGCCAAGGGTATTTTATTTATGCAACATCTACTTAGTACCAGTACCAAGTATGATGCTTTACAAGGTTCCTTTTTTACCCCAATTGTTGGAAAATGGTCTGTTGCACACTGCCTTTCTCGACTCTTACCTGGAATGCATAACCAGAACTTGGGCCGGGCACATTCCCTTTTAATAGAGGCTGGGAACTAAGTTTCTGCCTCTGTTCCAGTTTCTCCCTCCTCATAAAGGAAACCCTTTCCCTGTATACAGAACCTGCTTCAGTGTAAGCATTATGTGGCACCTGGCCAACCTCAATGCTGTAGTTGTTGCCAGAGGGGAGGGGACGAGGTCTTTCTGCTTTGGGAAGTAACCCACTGGCTGTGGGGGACCAATGCCCACTACTGAAGCTGACCTTACTGTCTTTTCTATGTAAGTAAAGCATTATTCCATCCAATGCCTATGTGTAAGTCATGTCTTTTTTTGTGACCCTGTACCTTGGCATGACAATAAACAAGTCTATGAGTTAAACATTAACTTCATTTTACAGATGAGATCACAATTGGTTAATTAATTTGTCTAAGATCACATATCACTAATCCTGTAAATAACAACTGGGATTTGAATATAGGAAGTCAAGTTCCAGACTCTGGGCTCTTAACCACTAGCATATTGCTTATAACATAACCTCTTATAGCGAACAACAAATCAGATACATGTTTTAAACTGCCCTGGACCTATTAAAAAAAACCTCAGTGCAGCTCTGGAGTGCATGTTGCTAGGTGCCATCGAGTCACCTCCAACTCATAGTGACCCTATGTACAACAAAATAAAACACTGCCTAGTCCTGTGCCAGCCTCACAATCCTTGCTGTAACTGAGCGCATCATTGCAGTCACTGTGTCAATCCATCTTCTTGAGGGTCTTCCCTTTTTTCGTTGACCCTCCACTTTACCAAGCATGGTATCCTTCTCTAGGGAATGGTCCCGTCTGACAATACAACCAAAGTAGGTGAGACGAAGTCTGGCCATTCTTG